TCTGTCTCTCTCTCTCTCTCTCTCTGTCTTTCAAATAAATAAGTAAATCTTAAAAAAAAAAAACTGACAGAGATTGTCGTGAATGATGGGAGTTGAGTTTTATATTTCATCAGGAAAGAAACACTTTGAATTTAGCTGTTGCACTGGCAAAAGCCCTTATGCTTGTTTTTATAAATTGAAAGTGGTAACAAGGGGTAGATGCCATAGATTAGGCCTCTGGTGGGGGCCCCGGCATCCCATAGTGAAGTGATCATTCCAATCCTTAGCCACTCTGCTTCCTTGCCAGACATGTGGGAGTCCCTGATGGAGTTCCCAGGCATTTGGCTTTGGCCTGGCTCAGTCTCATTGTTGCTGGCATTTGGGGAGTGGACTGTGATAGGAAGACTTGTACTACAGCAATGTCCCCTAAATAATAATAAATTCCCCCCCCCCCTTTTTTTTTAAAGAAAGTATACTGCAGGTAACTCCCCCCCAGAAGTATTCTCTGTCTACCGGTATCATCTTTCCGTGTAAGTTGCATTTTCAAGTGCCATGTTACACAGCCGAGGTGCTTATCTCCACTTCTCAGTTCCATAAAACCTGTTTCTTGCTCCAGGTTTTTTGGTTTGTCTTTTTTTTTTTTTTTTTTTTTTTTGACAGGCAGAGTGGACAGTGAGAGAGAGAGACAGAGAGAAAGGTCTTCCTTTTGCCGTTGGTTCACCCTCCAATGGCCGCCGCGGCCGGCGCGCTGCGGCCGGCGCACCGCGCTGATCCGATGGCAGGAGCCAGGAGCCAGGTGCTTTTCCTGGTCTCCCATGGGGTGCAGGGCCCAAGCACCTGGGCCATCCTCCACTGCACTCCCTGGCCACAGCAGAGGGCTGGCCTGGAAGAGGGGCAACCGGGACAGAATCCGGAGCCCCGACCGGGACTAGAACCCGGTGTGCCGGCGCCGCTAGGCGGAGGATTAGCCTAGTGAGCCGCGGCGCCGGCCTTCATTGTTTTTAATACCTTTGTTATGTCCTGAGGTGTCGTTCTCATTATTATTATTATTATTTTTGACAGGCAGAGTGGACAGTGATAGTGAGAGAGGGACAGAGAAAAGTCTTCCTTTTTTACGTTGGTTCCCCCTGCAATGGCCGCTGCGGCCGGCACACTGCGCTGATCCAAAACCAGGAGCCAGGTGCTTCTCCTGGTCTTCCATGTGGGTGCAGGGCCCAAGGACTTGGGCCATCCTCCACTGCGTTCCCAGGCCACAGCAGAGAGCTGGCCTGGAAGAGGAGCAACCAGGACAGAATCCGGTGCCCTGACTAGAACCCTGTGTAGGCGGAGGATTAGCCTATTGAGCCGTGGCGCTGGCCTCTCATTATCTTAACTTCCGGCTGAGATGTCAGCGTTACTTATGGAGGTCCTAATCTTTGTTTTTGTTAGTGGTATCATTACAAAGTTCAAGGGGCATTAAATTATTTACCCCAGCCTACCCTTCTCAGCTCCTTGACATTTTTGTCCTTAAGCCTTGATATTTTTAGTATTACAGAATATCCAGTTTTTAGGAGTATATGTAGTATTTATTTTATAGTAGCTATACTAAAAAACTTCTTCAAAGAAAGGCTGGTTAGTGTAGTTGAATATTTGCTAATTTATTTCTGCTCTTAGAGAGCCGATGTATATTCTGGTAATGGACATCTCCTTTTAAGATACTATTCATCAGTTTAAAATACAGGGGCAGGTGATTGACACAGTGGTTGAGGTACAACTTGGGGCTTCTGCATCCCAGCTCTGGTCTCCATTGAACATTATAATTTTGAAATAGTGGAAATTACTATTTCTTATACAAATACCATTCAACGATGAATTTTAAGTAGCTACATCAAAACAATATGGTATTATTATACAAAGTAATGCCTTGGTTTTCAACAAAAATCTTCAGATATTTCCTGCTTATCATTACTTTTATATTTGAAACCTATTTATTTGGGTCTCTGTCACCTATGTGGGAGACCCAGATTGAGTTCCCTAATGGTTATAGGTATCTGGGGAGTGTAGCAATGAATGTATGGTATTTCTCAGTTCCTCTCTAGTTCTTTCCCTTTCAAATAAATAGATTTAAAATGCAAAAGTAATGATAAGCAGGAGAAATTTAAAGACTTTTGTTGATCACCAGGGCATTATTTTGTATAATAATGCCATATTGTTTGGATGGAGCTACCTAATATTGATTGGTAAATGATATTTGCATAAGAAATAGTAATTTCCACCATTTACAGAACCAAGGCTTGTTTCAAAATTATAATGTTCAATGGAGGCTAGAGCTAGGATGGTAATTTTTACCATTTACAGTTCCAAGGTTTGTTTCAAAATTATAATTTTCAACCTTTAGAAAATGCATAATGGGAGGACCGGTGCTGTGGCTTAGTGGGTAAGGGCCGCCATCTGCAGTTCTGGCATCTCATATGGACGCCAGTTTGTGTCCTGGCTGCTCTACTTTGGATCTGGCTCTCTGCTATGGCCTGGGAGAGCAGTAGAAGATTGCCCAAGTTCTAGGGCCCCTGTACCCACCTGGGATACCAAGAGGAAAGCCTCTGGCCCCTGGCTTTGCTTTGGATCAGCCCAGCTCAAGCCGTGTGGCCCTCTGGGGAGTGCACCAGCCAATAGAAGACCTATCTACCTCTGCCTCTGCCTTTCAGAAAAATAAATTAATTAAAAAAAATTAAAACGAAAATGCATGGTGATGCTAGTGCTGTGGTGTAGTGCGTGAAGTGCTACTTGCAGCACTGGCATCCCATATGGACACCAGTTCAAGTCCTGGTTGTTCCACTTCTGATCCAGCTCCCTGCTAATGAGCCTGGGGAGGCAGCAGAAGATGGTTCAAGGACTAGGGCACCCGCTCCTGTGTGGGAGACCTGGAGGAAGTTTCTGGATCTTGGCTTTGGCCTGCCTAGCCCTGGCCATTATGGCCATTTGGGGAGTGAACCAGCGGTTAGAAGACCCCTCTCTTTCTTTCTGACTCTCTCTCTCCTTTTCTGTAACTTTCCCAAGTAAATACATAAATAAATCCTAAAGATAGAAAAAAAATGTGTGATAGTATAATTTATAGGTTGCTATGAAGTAAAATCATGAAATACAAAAAAGTGGATGTTATTCCAGTTTATTAAAAGTATTGATTATATGTATAAATTATGTATAGTATATGGATTCAAAAAATTAGTCCATTTCTTTTACAAATATTTCAACTAGTGTCATTAAAATAGCAAGGAGTTATAGGACAGTGTTACAGAAATGTAAGAAAATCGGGGTCAGCACTGTGGTGCAGTGAGTTAATCCTCCACCTGTGGCACTGGCATCCTTGTGGGCGCCGGTTCTAGTCCCTGCTGCTACTCTTCCCATCCAGCTCTCTGCTATGTCCTGGGAAAGCAGTGGAAGATGGCCCAAACACTTGGGCCTCTGCATCTGCTCGGGAACCCGAAGAAGCTCCTGGCTCCTGGCTTCGGATCAGCCCAGCTCCAGCCACTGTGGCCATCTGGGGAGTGAACCACCAGATGGAAGACTTTGTTTCTGCCTTTCCCTTTCCCTGTCTGTAACTCTTCCGCTCAAATAAATAAATAAAATCTTTAAGAAAAAAAATGGGGCCGGTCCTGTGGTGTAGCTGGTAAAGCCGTCAGCTGCAGTGCCTTCATCCCATATGGGTGCCGGTACGAGTCCCAGCTGCTCCACTACCAATCCAGTTCTCTGCTATGGCCTGGAGAAGCAGTAGATGATGGCCCAAGTCCTTGGTCCCCTGCACCTGTGTGGGAGACCTGGAGGAAGCTCCTGGCTCCTGGCTTCGGATCGGCGCAGCTCCAGCTGTTGTGGCCTTCTGGGGAGTGAAGCAGTGGATGGAAGACCTCTCTCTCTCTCTCTCTCTCTCTCTCTCTCTCTCTCTCTCTCTCTGCCTTTCTGCCTTTCAATTAAATAAATCTTAAAAAAAAAAAAAAAGAAATGTAAGAAAAGCACTATAGGAAATGTAATCGACTACAGAAAATTTTTGCAAATGAGAATAGTGGATGTATAAATGGAGAAGAAAAAGGCAAATAAAATGCTTGGAAGTAAACTATTCTAGTCAATAATAATGGAAAAGTAGTATAACTCGTCATGTAGAGTTACTCCATATAAGATAGAAAATAGAGAGCTTTGCTAAAGGGTAGACTCTTTGGTGGTAATTTGGGTATTTAAATAATTGAGATGGGTGGTGTGGTGTGGCAGTGGCAGACTTTATTTCTTTGATAATATATAAGTACCAGCAAATTCAGTGTGACTGTACTACCCTGAGCACTCAAGGAAGTGATCTATGTTCTAAGTCAAGAGTTAACAGAGAGAGAGAGGAGAGATAGAGAAAGGTCTTTTTTCTGCTGGTTCACTCCCCAAATGGCCACAGCAGTCAGGACTGTGCCAGGCTGAAGCCAGGAGTCAGGAGCTTCCTCTGGGTCTCCCATGCAGGTGCAAGGGACCCAAGGACTTGGGCCATCTTCTGCTGCTTTCTCAGGTGCATTAGCAGAGAGCTGGGTCTGGAAATGAAGCAGCTCCCATAGGTGGCACCCATATGGAATGCTAATGCTGCAGGCTGTGGCTTAACCCATTACCCCACAACGCTACCCCCAAAACTGTTCTAAAATAAAGAAAAATTGCTGAAAATTTGGGGCATGTTGTACAATTCAATATTTTGATAACGTAGAAGACTTAATGTACCCTGGGGAAAGGATCTGAATTGTGGAGATGCTGTAATTGTATGTCTGTATTGCAGTTGCATTAAGACCCTTTTCCTGTTTTCTACCACTTTTTGATATTAATTGTATTTTGTTTCTCCTAAATATAAAAAATGGGAAAGTATGAAAGTACTTCCAAAAGTTTGTAGAAAATGGAATTAAATGCTGTTTTTTTTGGTGCAAAAATATTTGGAAGCCATGCATATCATATTTTGTCATTTTAAAAGTGTAACCTAAATGGCAGAATTACTGTGTTCAGTGCATTTTTTTTTATTCCTTAAGGAAGAGAGAGAAAATCCTTCGAAACGGAGTAGAATTGAGCGGGATGTAGATAATAATTTGATCACATCAACTCCAAGAACAGGAGAAAAGCCTAACAAACAGATATCTCGAGTAAGACGGAAAAGTCAAGTAAATGGAGGTTTGTTAATCTATAGATATTGTTTTATTTAGGTATAAGCAGAGCTCTGACCTGATATGAATTAAAATAAATAACTTTATACTATTTAGCTTGCAAATGTATATGAACCAGCCTTTATTAAAGCAGTAATAATTGTGGCAATTGAAATATGTACAAAAATTTGTTTCTCGATCATACTGTTTAAGAGCTTAGCAGATATTTGTATCACTTATGCCAGTAGTTTTTTTTTTTTTTTTTTTTTTTTTTTTTTTTTTTTTGACAGGTAGAGTGGACAGTGAGAAAGAGAGACAGAGAGAAAGGTTTTCCTTTGCCGTTGGTTCACCCTCCAATGGCCGCCGTGGCCGGCGCACCGCATTGATCCGAAGGCAGGAGCCAGGTGTTTCTCCTGGTCTCCCATGGGGTGCAGGGCCCAAGCACTTGGGCCATCCTCTACTGCACTCCCTGGCCACAGCAGAGAGCTGGCCTGGAAGGGGGGCAACCGGGACAGAATCCGGCGCCCCAACCAGGACTAGAACCTGGTGTGCCGGTGCTGCAAGGGGGAGGATTAGCCTATTGAGCCGCGGCGCCGGCGCCAGTAGTTCTTAACTGTGGATGGTTTTGTTTCCCACATGGTAGGCTGGTTATCAGCCTGTGGAGGAGTTGCTGCTGGTATCTAAAGGAGATAGCTGTCAGGGATACCACTAAGCTTCCTTCATTGTCCAGTACAGCTCAAAGCAAAGAATTAATCAGGCTCAAATGTCAATACTACCGCTGTTTATAAACTCTGTCAACACCTACGTATAATGAGAAAGAATAGGAGAAAAGCACTAAAGACAGGCCCAGGAAACTATAAAGAATAGTACTTCAGAGCGGGATGTGCTCTTTTAACCAACTGTTACTTTAAACAAAGCAGCAATAACTGTTTATCTCTTCTCCAGTGGAGAGAAAAAGACACTGAGATAGAACAGGAGGGAGAAAAAGAGAGAAGCAAGTTAAAAGAGTTACAATAAAGATGGGAAAAGATGTGATACACAGCAAAGAAAAGTTGTGGAGGGTCAAAAGATGATTAAGCAAAACTTGTGTATTATTTTTATTTTTATTGCTTTTCAAAAATTATGAGAATTTTTTATGTAAAGTTACTTAAAAGCAACTAGTTATTTTACCTAACTACTCTGAAATGGTGATTCAATACTTGTAAATAATCTTTGATACTGTTCTATGTATCTTTTGCTAGAACCATGTTATTTCTAATAGTACCCCTGATGGTAAACAAAAATAGAATTGTGCATTTGATACTGGTAACTTGTTTGCATGTTTACAAAGAATTTTCCTTTGTTACATACTGTCTTGATTTGAAGCCTTCTGGTCTGTATATTTTTAGGTGTAAATCTACTTTGAAAAACTGTCAGTGTTAACATCTATAAAGCATTATGAATGCATTTATGTTTAAAGATGATTTGATTTACACTTGATTTGATTTACAAGTGATTTGCCTCAGGATTTACTTGATAAGCTCTCTTGAACATTAATCAGTTTTCTAGAAGTATTTTGAGGAGAAAAATGGTTATTTGAAAAATGAATGATTTGCAGTATATTTCTGAAAGTGTTTTCTGGATGACAATTTTTTCCCTTTGTTTCTTTCTTAGAAGCTGGTAGTTACGAAATGACAAATCAACATGTAAAGCAAAATGGAAAATTAGAAGATACTCCTTCTTCTGGCAGTCCTCCAAGGACTACATTGTTGGGGACCATATTTTCTCCTGTCTTCAACTTTTTTTCACCAGCAAATAAAAATGGTAATTATAAACCATTAATCATAATCTGGCTTAAAAAAACTTTTCAGGGTTTTTTAAAAAGATTTTTTCATTTTACATGTGTATTTTATCAATGTCTTATGTTTGTTTTCAACCTCATTAAATACATACTGCTCCTTAAAAGCATTCTTTTAGTGACTGAAATAAAGATAGATTGTTGTAGTAAACAATTTTTTATCATCTGAAAGGGCAGGTGATTAACTTTGGCCTGGAGGGAAAGATTTTACTTTCACTATGCTGATTGACTTCTGTAATGCTTATAATGTATAGGAGAGAATCCAGAAAAATTTTCAATATGCTCTTTAGATCATTGCAATGGAATGTCTTAACCATTTTTTTTTGTTTGTTTGTTTTGTTTTTGTTTTTTTAAAGATTTATTTATTTGAAAGGTAGAGTTACAGAGGGAGAGAGAGAGAGAGATCTTTCGTCTGCTGGGTCACTGGCCAGGTGGCTGCAGTGGATGGGACTGGGCTAGGCTAAAGTCGAAAGCTTCATTCTTGTCTCCCACATAGGTGGCAGGGGTCCCAAGCACTTGGGCCATCTCCTTCTGCTTTGCTGGATGCATTAGCAGAGAGTTGGTTTGGAAGTGGAATAGCTAGGATTTAAACTAGCACCCATATGGGATGCCAGCATTGCAGGCAACAGCTTAACTCACTACATCACAAAACTGACCTATTTTTCTTTTTTTTTAAAGATTTATTTGAAAGGCGGAATTACAGAGAGGGAAGGAGGGAGAGCCAAGACAGACAGAGACACAGATAGGGTGAGAGAGAATGAACAGTGGTGCTGGGCCAGCCCAAAGCCAGGCGCTCCATCGGGGTCTCCTACGTGGATATCAGGGTCCCTCGTACTTGGGGCCATCCTCTGTTGCTTTCCCTGGCACATTAGCAGGGAGCTGAATCTGAAGTGGAACATTTGGGATTTGAATTGGTGCTCATGTGAGATGCCAGTTGCCAGTGCTGTGGTTAGCAGTTTAACCTAGTGTGCCATAACACCAACCCCTTATTGGCTTTTTTTTTTTTTGGCTTTGCTTTTCAGTATATTTGTGTAATTTTTTTTAAAAAGGTTTATTTATTAACTTGAGAGGTAGAGTTACAGAGAGAGAGGTCTTCCGTCTGCTGGTTCACTCCCCAAATGGTTGCAACGGCAAGAGCTGGTTCCATCCAAAACCAGGAGCCAGGAGCTTCCTCTGCATCTCCCACATGGGTGCAGGGGCCCAAGCACCTGGGCCATCTTCCACTGCTTTCCTAGGTCGTAAGTAGAGAGCTGGATCAGAAGATGAGCAGCTTGGACTTGAACCAGCACCCACTTGGGATGCTGGTGTCGCAGGTAGAGGCTTAGCCTCCTACACCACAGCACTGACCCCTGACTTTTTTTTTTTTTTTTTTTTTTTTTTTTTTAAGATTTATGTATTGGCTGGCGCTGCGGCTCACTAGGCTAATCCTCTGCCTGCGGCGCTGGCATCCCGGGTTCTATTCCTGGTTGGGCGCCGGATTCTGTCCCAGTTGCTTCTCTTCTTATCCAACTCTCTGCTGTGGCCCGGGAAGGCAGTGGAGGATGGCCCAAGTGCTTGGACCCTGCACCTGCATGGCAGACCGGGAAGAAGCTCCTGGCTCCTGGCTTCGGATCAGCGCAGTGCGCCGGCCGTAGCAACCATTTGAGGGGTGAACCAGTGGAAAAGGAAGACCTTTCTCTCTGTCTCTCTCTTACTATCCACTCTGCCTGTCAAAACAATTTTTTATTTATTTACTTGAAAGAGTTACACACAGAGGGAAGGAGATACAGAGAAAGAAAGGTCTTCTATCCACTGGTTCACTTCCCCAATTGACCGCAATGGCTGGAACTGTGTCGATCCGAAGCCAGGAGCTTTTGGGTCTCTCATGTGGGTGCAGGGGCCCAAAGACTTGGGCCATCTTGTACTGCTTTCCCAGGCCATGGCAGAGAGCTGGGTAGGAAGTGGAGCATCTGGGACTCGACCCGGTTCTCATATGGGATGCTGGCACTGCAGGTGGTGGCTTTTCTTGCTATGCCACAGCACCATCCCCAATCTCTGACTATTTTTTAAGTGAACTAAAACTAAATGATTTTTTGTAGTAATTTATTAATATTATTATTTGCTTGTTACCCTCACGCTCACCAGGGATTTTCAATCTATATAAACTAATTCAAGTGAATTTAAGGTTATGCTTTATACTGTCTTTGCCAAAAGAGTCAACACTGGGGAGCATTTGTTTGATGCAGCAATTAAGAGGCAACTTAGAAATACCACATCCATATCAGAATCCCTGGGTTTGAGACCTGGCTCTGCTTGCATTTTCAGGTTCCTGCTAGTGCACATGCAGGGAGGTACCAGATGGTGGCTTAGGGAGTTGGTTCCCTACTAGCCATGTGGGAGACCCATATTGGGAGACCCATATTGAGTTAAGCCCCTGGCTTTGGCTTGACCCAGCTTTGTCTGTTGTGGGCATTTGGGGGAAATAGCCAGTGGATCTAAGATTCTCTCTGTCTCTCTCTGTTTTTCTCTGCCTTTCAAATAAAATGAAAACAAAAAAAATTTTTTTTAAAGATTTATTTATTTGCCCCGGTTGCTCCTCTTCCAGTCCAGCTCTCTTCTGTGGCCCGGGAGTGCAGTGGAGGATGGCCCAAGTGCTTGGGCCCTGCACCCACATGGGGAGACCAAGAGAAGCACCTGGCTCCTGGCTTCGGATCAGCGCGGTGCGCTGCCCGCAGTGGCCATTGCGGGATGAACCAACGGAAAAAAGGAAGACCTTTCTCTCTGTCTCTCTCTCTCTCTCACTATCCACTCTGCCTGTCAGAAAAAAAAAAAAAAAAAAAAAAGATTTATTTTTTTGGAAGTAAAGTAGTTACAGAGAGAGGAGAGGCAGAGAGAGAGGGGGCTGGTGGTTTTCCATCCGATGGTTCACTCCCCAATTGGCCTCAGTGGCTGGAGCTGCGCCAATCTGAAGCCAGGAGTCAGGAGCTCCTGCTCCCAAACTGGTGCAGTTCCCAAGGACTTGGGCCATCTTCTACTGCTTTCCCAAGGTAAAGCAGAGAGCTGAATTGGAAATGGAGCAGCCGGGTCTTAAACCAGCACCCATATGGGATGCTGGCACTGCAGGCCAGGGCATTAACCCACTGCGCCACAGCGCCAGGTGCCCCCTCCCCCCGCCAATTTTTTTTTTTTTAATTATTTAAAAAAGAGTCTGGTGTTGTGGTGTAGCAGGTGAAGCTGCTGCCTGCAGTGCCAGCATCCCATATAGGTGCTGGTTTGAGTCCCAGCTGCTCCACTTCCAATCTAGTTTTCTGCTATGGCCTGGGAAGAAGATGGACCAAGTGTTTGGGCCCCTGAACTTGTGTGGCAGACCCGGAAGAAACTCCTGGCTTTAGATTGGCCCAGCTCTGGCTGTTGCAGCAATTTAGGGAGTGAACCTAGGGATAAAAGACTTTCTCTCTCTCTCTCTCTTTTCCTCTATGTAACTCAGCCTTTCAAATACATAAATCTTAAAGATATTTAGAAAAGAAGAGGCAGTATTGATTTCTTTCCCTCCATATGCATGTATATTTGAACTTTTAAATTTCATTGTTTTACTTAATTTGAAAAATAGGGAGAAATAAATAGATTCCCATTTGCTGGTTCACCCTCAAAATGTGTAGGCTGAAGCCAGGAGCTGAGAACTCATTTCTTACCCCACCTGGGTGGACAGGAACCCAGGTACTTGAGCTATCATCTGCTGCCTTCCAGGATGCATATAGCAAGAAGCTAAAATCTGAAGCAGAGCTGAGACTGGAACCCACGTATTCTAATATAAGGGCTGGTGTCTCAAGTGGTTTCTTAACCACTCTTCCAAATGTTTTCCCCCACTTCATCTGTTTTAAAATTTGTATGTTTATTTCATTTATTTGAGAGGTAGAGCTCCCATCCATTGGTTCAGTTCCCAAATATCCACAATAGCTAGGCTGGGCCAGGCTGATGCCAGAATTTAGAACTCTATCCAGGTCTTCTTGCGTCGCAGGAACCTAATTACTGAAGCTATCACCTTCTGCTTCTCAGTGTATGCATTAGCAGGAATCTGCAGTTGGGAGCAGAGCTAGGACTTGAGCCCAGGTACTCTGGTATGGTGTGTCGGCACTGGAACTGGTGGCTCAAGTGCTTGGCCAAACGCCCACTGCCCTTAAAAATTTTTTTTTTAATTCTCTTTGTGTATTTTTGGTGACTTAACTGATATCCCATCTTTCCATTATCATTTAGTTCAGATTAGCTCAGGGCAAGAGATCATGTCTACTTTGTGGCATCTACCATGGTATTTGGTATAGTTTTGGGCATATGGAAGATAATCATTTAATAGTTGTTGCCTGATTATTTAAATTGTAATCTGAATGTTTGTAGAAGACTGCACAATTTTTAAAAAAGTTATTTATTTGAGAGGCAGTGAGACAAGAGAGTGTTCCCATTTATTCACTTCTAAATGCCTACCTACATTGACTAGAGCCACATTGGGTTTACAGCCAGCAGCTGGGTGTTAGGGACTGAGTTCTGGTCTCTCACATGGTAGCAAGGACCCACTTACTTGAACTGTTACCTTCTCGCTCCCAGGGTTTGTATTCGCAGGAAGCTGGTCAGGAGCTGGAGTTGGGAATCAAGCTCAAGTACTATGATGTCAGGTGCTGTGTCTTAACTGGTATCATAACAGCTAAACACTTGTCTTAATAGTGCAGTTTTTGAAGGGTTGGATGATATAATGTAAAATCAAGATGTCCTGATAGAATAATGCATATTAACCCATTAAAGGACTAAAAAGTTCTATAAGAGAAATAAAGACTCTGTTTAGCTTTGTAAACCTAGTATTGCGAAGATATATCTGACCCTAGAATCCTTTACTGTGGCTTATGTGTTAACATCTTGGAGAAGTATTTGCTAGTGTTTTAGAAATACTGATATAGGGACCGGTGCTGTGACGCAGTGGGTTAACGCCCTGGCCTGA